GGCCAAGGCCGAGAAGCAGAAGAGTTCGCCGCCCTTGATACTGCCGAAGGCTCGTGCCAGGAAACTTACCAAGACGGTAGCCGTCACCTCGAGAACGTTGCTGTATAGCTTGGAGTTGGCGGCCACGATGAGCTGCAGAAAACCGACGAGGCAGCCAAAGAAGAAGCAAAGCGGGAGATCGATCATGCGAGCGCCGAACGAGAAGGGGGCAGCCGTGGCGCTGGTCAAGCCAAAGACGAGGACTCGGATCCAGGCGTGGAACTTGTCCTTGGCTTTGATGAGGGTGTCCAACCGCTGGATGCCATCGTCAACGCTGACGACATCGTGAATGACTTCCTTATAAACGTGGTGTGCGTCTCTGAGCTTTCCGAGATCGATACCCTGGGCTACGCGGACGATGCGGACTTCGGTTGTATGGGTGGACCGATCGTCGAAAGAGATAATCATGCATCCTGGGAGATAAAGGAAATGACCATCGATCTCAAGGACCTTGGCCGTTGTGCTGAGGTACTCCTCGAGACGATGCGTTGGTGCACCAAAGAGCATCAAAGCCTTGCAGAGTGTGATGATGTACTCCTGTCTGGAAAGCGTCTCGGCGATGTGGACGGTAATCTTGGCCTCCTCCTCTTGTCTGGCTAGGTACGCAGCGATGGAGTTGCTGGCGGTTCGCTTATGCTTCGGCCGCGTTTTCTTCGCAGCCCCCTTGCCATTTTTGGGTGACTCGTCAGGCTTCCCTTGCGTATTAGGATTGGCGAGGCGGGCCGAAGCTTCGATGAGGTTGACGAGAGTCTCCTGAGAGCGGTTTGCCTCGTACCACTTCTTCTTCTTGGGCGTCGTCGGGGTCGCGGTGCCTGAGTTCGAGCCCGGCGTGCCAGCTCCCGGCAGCGGTCCACCAAAGGAGAAAGAGGTAACGGAGCTGCGATTGGTCTGCCCGGACGACTGGTACTGATTGCCTGATTCCGCAGGCTTGTACAGCTTGAGAAGCTGCGAAAGAACGCTCCCGCGGTACTCCGTGGGTGCGGGGACAGAGTAGACACCATCGTATTGACCATCGTTGATCTCCTGTAGGAGGTGCTCGGTGACCTTGTGGATCTCTGCCTCCTGCGCGTTGGATGGACCAGCGACGCTCTCGGATTTCTCGGCGAGGCGCCAGGTGTGGGCTCTCACAATTTTGTAAGCCTCGTCGTTCAGGGCGGCATGGTGCTCGTGAGCTTTTTTCTCAGCCTCGGCAGAATCGCCATTGAGTGGCTGGCGAGAGTGAAGATCTTGAAGGGCAATATATCCTCCAGCCCCTTCCCCTCCTCCGAGGTCGTACTCGCTTGCGGTAGTGGTAGTAGCGGACTCAAGGGAGTCCCGGTTCGCGCGGGTCGGCGAGCCGAAGTGAACATTTTCAGCCATCTGCCGAGCTCTTTCTTGAGCAGCTGCCGCAGCAGACTTTGCTTCTTGGCGTTCATTCTCATCAGACGGATGGGGTTCCTCTTTGGCGAAAGTAGCCACGGTGGGGATGGAACTGCCCGAACCACCTCGTAGGATGGACGGTCTGGTAGGCTGTGCCGGAGCAAGCTTGGGTGTAGTTGGGACTGCTGGTGGTGATGTTGGAGGCTTGGTCGCGGCCGCGTTGCTGTTAAATCTGACGCGGCCTTTCTCTTTCTTCAGGGCGGCTGCAGCTGCGGCCTCGGAAGGGGTGCTTGTCCCGGCCGTGTCGGAGCCGGATGTTGGTTCAGAATCGGCTTCCACCGGCTCAGGTGCTGGGGTTGAGGCCGAGCCAATGCCGCCGGGCTCGGGGCCAGGGTCATCATCGGGAGAGGACTGTGAGATTCCCGCCATTGCATCGACGGTCAGAAAACGAGCGAGTATCTTCGAACTTGGCAGCGGAGCAGGATGGAACCAAAGAGAAGAAGAAGAAAAACAAGATACAAAAGCACAATATATTACCAAAGAAAAATTCTGACCTTGTGGGAGGCACAAGTGGATCGTGGGGAAAAGTATGGGGGAAGACCCCTTTCTTATAAGTAGAACCGGACCGGCGGTTCACGACGTCGGCAGCTTGTCACCCGGACCCTCCGGTAACCTGGAAAGGTTCTCATACCGGAAATACTTTTTCGTATCCATCAAACTCCACTTGGGCCGAAACCGCTCCACGAGAAGCAGCAGATCGAATTTCCATGAACGTGCTAGCACACCATATTTTGGCGCAAGTTCGTTAGGGCCCGACTTCCTATTACCTAACAAAATCGGGATGCTTGCCGTCATTCGCCAGGGGACTCCCTGTGTGTCCCTGCGCGGCCTTGGCTTGCGGATGGTATGCAATATGGAACTATGCACATGTCGTCATGGGGTTTCCCTTTTCTCTTTGACGCGTCTTTCGGCTGATGTGCTGGCCTTCGAAAATGGTGATGAACCGCCATATCGGTCGAAATGACACAATATCACAGAGCTGCCCAAGAGGTTGCAAGAAAACTAGTGCCGTAGGATGGCCTTAGGGCCAACCCGAAGATCCTGCATAAGACTCGAGAGTTCCCCTCGGTGGTGTGGTTCCCACTCGGAAGCACCCGATTCGCTGCAGCTCGCTGTCATCCGAGCTCGGCCAACCAGGGATCTTGTTTGTGCCTCTGCTGCCGTAAATATCTGTTCCGTCAGGGGCTTGAACCAAGGGTCTTCCCATGACTCCATGCCCAGTTCTACCTCCTCATTGAGAACCACATGTTCGGTTTCGGCGCTATGTTTGGTTTGCGCGGTCCGCTGGGAGCGCGGTCTAGACTCTAGAAATGCCGGGAGGCTTAGGTCATAAGTGGCAACCCCTTTCGAAGACAGGAACTTGGACCTCAGTCGCCTGAGTCATGTAGCTGGTCCCCACGTGCCTGGACCGACGAGCAAGGGTTTCCACTACACGTGAGCAATGGAAATTTTGTATCACGATGCTAGCGAAATGATGAAGAAGGTTTTTCTTCCCTTGAAGGAACTGGGAAAAGGGGGGATGTGTTTTTGCCTGAACAAGATATGGGGGGATACTTCATTCCAAGACGAGGGGCCCGAACTGAATGATTCGTACGGCTCAGGTACGCCACAATTGTTCAGACTTGATTAAATTCCGGTCATGTGCGAACGCATGTTCAAAATCGGAAGTCAAGGAAGGCGGTTAGTCTCGTGTGTTGTGCCGGACTTTGACTTGCTCCGCTGTTCCTTCGTAGTAAGTTAAATCGGTGTTGATTAAAGTTATGGGGAGATTACAACAAGTCGAGGAACCCTTGCACAGAACCGGAGCTGTCTGGGAAGAGTTCTCCAACAAGTCGTCCAAGCAAGGCATGGAATATGATCCGACACGGTTTGAACCAGAATTTGTGTGCGATTAGAAGTACGTTATGCATTCAGAAAGGTTAGCTGTCAGTGATGGTCACGAATATTTCAATTCCCAACAGCCTTGACGCTTATATAGAACCGAAGACAGGAAATTGAAGTCATTTGATCTAGATGTAGGGGATTTGGGCGAGACAGAGGCCTGGGAGAGTTTGAGATCCTACCATAATGTTCTTATTAGTCGGAAGTTTGATTTTAGAAATCCAGCTATGGTCTCGACCAAGCAAGCGACGAGCCCATACAGTTGCTGGGCCTATTCCCTCCCTAATCGCCTGTAAGTGTAACAACCGAGCGGTGAATTCAAGCTGCCAAAGACGTCCGCCCCGGTCAAAACTACCCTTTCTTTGACTTCACCATCCATCACTTTATCCACGTTTGTCAACTGTGTCTTTGGTGTGCTGCAAGACAACCTACGCAACAGTATGCCATGCATTTTCTAGTTCCGAAGGCCTCGTTCGCGTCAGCAGCAGCACCGTCGCTGTCAACGACAGGACAAGATCAACCAGCGCCTGCAACGTCCGCGATAGGCCAGCCGACGCCTACAAGATAGGCTGTAACAGCCGAAAATGTGCAAAGTGCCAGGTTCCCTTCTCGTGCTCGTGCTCCGGGCTCCGGGCTCCTCGTGCCCCATATCTCGCCCAGTTAGGTGCCACTCAGCATTTCCAGCCTCGAGTAGCAAACGGCTGCACTCTCAGTGAATGTGTGAAAAGGGAATCAAGTCATTCGCCAGGAAATGGATGTCCCTAAATATTCTGGGGGCCAAGTCCATTGCTTTGTAATTCCATATCCCCTCTTGTGGTTGATATTTCTAGATATCAAGAATAAAAAGAATGCGCAATTGATTTCTTTGACTACTCTACTTAAGAGAGTAAGCCTGGCTTAACGGCCATCATGTAACATTAGTCCCGGTGGAAACGTTACAAGCGAATTGTGTGTCATACATTGGTGAAGAAGAAGAAAAGGTGATAGCTGTTGGTTGTATCGTGGGCTTTTGTGCTTATCCACAAGCTATCTTACTTTGAGGGAACATGGCAATTCTGGAAAGTAAACTGAACACATCGTTCTGAACATCTGAAATGCGCCGATTGACCGACAAGAAGAAAAAAAAAACAGTGCCTGATTAGATATCATCTGCCGAAGATAATCGTCATACGTGAAACGTAAACAGCAAAACATATCCTCCACATCAAATCTCTTGTTGCTACCAGCTGGTGGCTGTTCGCAGCCCTGAAGGAATCTCAACTGGCCGTCCGAATATGGCTGGAGTCTTTTGGGGAGATATTGCTTGATTCGCTATGAAAGAGGGGTCCTTGGTCGCGCGGTGGACGATCTGTCCAAGTTTCTCGTACAAAAGGTCTGCGGTGGCACGATCGTCCACTTGAACCAAGAGCAGGTGCTGGGTGATTAGATTGACAAGGGCTCCTAGCGCTGTGTCACCTTCACAACGAGGATCCCTTCGCAGAACTGCAAATGCTTCGATCACCGAAGGATGTATCACCGCAATGTTTCCCCGAAGCGCGTAAAAGTTTGAAGTTCTCTGAGCGGCCGTCCCTTCCTCCCTGGATTCGGCAAAGCTGTTGATGGCATTGACCCCGTAGACCATCCAGATGACAAACTCGAGATAAATGCATGCCATCGACCAAATGTCGTATCTGCGAGGTCTAGGCTTATTTGTCTTTAGGATGGCTTCTGGTGGCTCGTATGAAGGTGTAGTAGCTCTGGTGAGGGTACTCATGGATCTCATATATGTCGCAGCTTTGTGGACCTTGGAAATCCCGACGTCTGCGATGACAAGATTACCCAGCCCGCCGTTGGGGAAGTGGAGGATATTCCCGGGCTTGAGATCGCCATGACGGAAATTGATGTCATGAAGCTTCCGGAGGGCACCACTGATTCCAAGCATCTGTTGCAGAGACCACAACATGTACTCCTGGTTTGACATATGCAACATCCAGAACTCCTGGAGGTTCCCCCCTTCTGCCCATGGGAAGGCTATGAAGTAAGACTTGTCTCGCTCGCAGAAGAACAAGTATCGAATGAGATGTCTGTCTTTGATACCTTGAGTCTTCAGTAGATTCTTCCTTTCCTGATCGAACAGGTTGAAGCCATCAGAGGTGCGAAATATTTTGACTGCAATCACCATGTCCTTGGTTTGCGCCTTTGAATACCGAATTAGCTCTTGAATCTTATACTGTTGGAGAAGATTCGGACTCACCCCAGAGCCGGTTTGGTGAGCCGCATGTAGCTCGCTTTTGTAGACAACATTGCTGTGTTCACCTCGAAGTTCGGTTGCTCTTAAGAATGGCAGCGGGCATTTTGAATCCACATGAAAGACTGTGGGTGTCCCTGTAACATCCAGTTTTGGGGCAAGGAAGAGCCACTGCTTTTCCAGAAACATGTCTACCTTCGCTTCATTCTTCCAGTCTTTGAATGACCTGACTTCCAGTCTCCCCTTGGATTCCAAAGTACCACTGTGCTTGTCATGGGTTGGCCTTGCAACTGGTAAATCGTCGTCGGTAAGACCATCGTCGACTAGCTTCCGAATTGCCTGGGGCTCTCCGATAATCACAAGGATTGCAAAAAGTCGTCTTGCGTTCATCGAGATTTTGCTTGGGAGGCTATCCGAAAACAGCCTAGTCATGAGGCTTCTGGGGAGCTCATTCTGAACGGTCTCCTTGGTGATGAGATCGTTCAGACTACTGACTGGCAAGAACTGCTGGCTTACGACAGAAGAATACTGAAGGGAGTTTTTCAAATTTGAAAGTAGAGCTTGAGAAGCCATTGCTCGTTGAGATGCCTTTTTGGACGTCAGACTCAGGGATCGCATTTACAAATGACTGGGTTTGAAGGCTGGGTTCAACAGGACGGCCCACCGACAATCGCGGGGTCTTATGAAACTTTAAGCATCAACCATGACCAACGACTGTACGAGATAGAAGAGGCTGCAAATTCAGGCGACCATGAAGGCAGCCACATAAGCATCCTCCAGGCTGAAGTAATTGTCAGCGAAACTGCCGAAGGGACTCCAGTCTCTCATGTCTTTCCGGGCCGTTGCTTCGAGACCATCACGCTCCAGTGACCTGTCTTTGACACAGCCCTTGTATACTTTGTACATAAACGGATGAGCTAAGACAAATCTGAAGTCTCGCTGGAAGCTGCTTTGCTGATCCGCAGTCTTATAGTCGGGGATACCCGGGATCAGTTGGCACCCCTTTCATATGTGCGGCAGAATGAACCCGCCACCATGGCATCGTGGTCCAATGACGAATTCTGATCATGACATCCTACACGACATAGGAGATAAGCTGCTCGGTTCAGCCTGATTTGGCGTTGGAGAAAGTCTGCAGGTTCTGTCAAAAGATAAGATGCACTTACCCCGCCTCCTTGGCTGTGCCGAAGCACAACCTTGAGTAGACTCACGTCATCGCAGTGCATGCATATCAGGGGGTTAGCTGCCATGCTCACAGCCTGATCCCAAAGAAACAACTCCATTACTGGGCTGTTTTGTTCCTGCGGATGCCAGCAGGCAATTCGAGACTTTGTGGCATTTGAAAGTTCTCGTTCATCATATTGACATGCCCCCTGGTCCATGTCGATCTTCTTTGCAACTCTTTTTAATATCCCGCTTATTCCGAGGTGAAAGTCGAGTTCACCAGACCGTGATCTGCTCGGACGAGGTTTGAAAGTGTTAGCAAGAACTTTTGGCCAATGCTAACAGCTTCCTGATTTGGCTCTACCCAGCCATCACACTATTGGCAATGTGCGCATCGGTTAAAGGTTGCAGTTGGCATGCGGAGTTTGGACAAAATGGTTCTCTCCAGACTCCGAGCCTGATCTAGATTGGTAAATGCGGCGCGCGTGCGAACCACGCGCGCCAGCTTTGGTGTCATGCAGAGGTCAAGTGTCATCCTGCCGTTGGTTGGAATGTACATGTTATGCATGGGAAATAGATATTAGGACTTGGGTCAAGGCAGAAGGGTGTACACCAAAAGGCGACCGGAACCAACAAAGTAGTCGTGGAGGGTACGGTACCGAACAAAGGAGGGGAAGACCGCAATCTGCTATGCAAAACGGCAAACATCAACCAGTAAGCCCACCAATTCGTCACTGCATAAGTAAAGTACGTTGCTGCATGCTTTGGATAGGTCTGATCGCGCAAGATTCGCCTTGGTCTGCTTCCATTGAGGTGGTGGCTATGCCAGTCGCTAAAGCATTCTTGAAATGCGAGGCTTACCAGTGCTGTGTGGTAGTCATTGGTTATCATCACATGTGAGTAGGGCCCATTACCATGCCAAGACGCAGGTATCGGCGACATAAAGCTGAATGCGTAGCTAAAGAAGGAAGAATTGCCTGAGCCCAATCGTCGAGTCACAAAAGCTCACAAGCAGCCTCTTCGGAAAATTCGACTAGTAGACGCACAACACAAAGACCGAGACTTCGAGCAATCGCCCAACCCAATTTCGCGCCGTGTGTCTTCAATTACCATATATGCGAAGAGGACGTCGAGTATACCGTCTCAATTGTGGAAGAAGTCATCCATTGCCAGTCTTCGGAGAGGTAGCAACATGAGTGACCGGAGCGGTGAGATGGCCGATCTTCAGGGCCAGTTACGCTCGGCACAGCTTCCTTCAGGAACATGCGGAAGCAGTACCTTTCTTCCATACTCCGTCCTGGAACAGGAGGTAACTCCGGAATCGATTACAAAAATTCTGTCCGATCGAAAGAGCAAGTACCCAGAGGCCATATCAGAAATCGCCTCCTTTGTCTGCGGAAAACCTGGGGCAAGGCGAATTTTTGCGGTCCTTGTCTTCCTTGGTTGCCCGGACCGGATTGACTTGTTCTACGAGCATAAGTTTGTCGACTCTATTCTGCCTCTCTATGTCACCGGAACAAAACAAGTCCAAGTGAGAACCCATTCCGCCGAAACTGGTCACTCTGAGATCACCCGCAAGGTTTTTGCCGACGAATTTTGGAAACGCTCTATGTCACCATGGATGTTTAGCGACAACCAGTGGCAATTTCTTGGGCCGGTCTTCAACGAACATCAATTCAGATACTCATTTCGCACGGAACACCGAATGCCGTTCCTAGAGCAGCCTGGCGGACATAGAGAAAGTCATTTCAGCACGGTAGGAAAGTGGTCTATCCATCAGTCCCATTTTAAGAGGAGCTCAATACTTGTAAGTGCACATACACTCATGATCAAGGCATTGCTATGGAGTCCATGGATACGACACTCATATGTTGCAGCGCCTATCAGACGACATAGATGGACATCCGATTGTAGCAGTGAAAGAGCTGAAAAATGTCAACATGAATGGTGTCGACTACGAGCAGGCAGCCGAGGCCGAGGCAGAAGTTCTACAAAGGATCCGTGAAATGGAGCATCCGCATCTCATCAAGGCGATTGCTTACTACAAAAGGGGTGATCGATACTTTATCATTTTCCCGTGGGCCGGAGGTGGCAACCTCCGAGACTACTGGGGAAGAGAGCCTCCTCGTAAGCTAGATGCAGATTTTGTTGGCTGGGCTCTTGGCCAGCTCTGTGGCCTGGCTAGTGCGATGAACCAGCTTCATTCGACAAAGGACTCCGCATGTCGGCACGGGGACCTGAAGCCAGAGAATATCCTTTGCTTCGAGAACAACAAGAGCTCCGACTCATTTTCTCAGCCATTTCTCGTCATTGCGGATGTTGGTCTGGCTAAAGTTCACATCTTGGCGACGGAGATGCGCAACGAAGCTACACGCACGATGAACGGAACGGTTATGTACGAGCCACCTGAAGCTGTACTGCTGCTAACGAAAAGACTACCACGATCGCGACGTTATGACGTTTGGTCAATGGGCTGTATCTATTTCGAGTTTCTAATCTGGCTCCTATACGGAAAGGCCGAACTGCTTCGTTTTAGCGACGACATAGCGCATCCCGTGAACAGACCACGGCAATTCTTCGATGTACATGGATCTGGAGTGACCGGAGCGGCCAGTATCAAACCCGGCGTTCAGAAGTGGATGGATTGGATCAGAAGGGACCCAAGATGCCCACCGAACACTGCAGTTCGAAAGTTACTGGAGCTCATCTGCACACGATTACTAGTCATAGAGGTAAGCAAGCCGAGGCAAGAGTCATCTGGAAGCGCCAGTGCCCAAGGCAGCACCACTCTACACGCGACGAATGGCCCAGATAACCCGAGCATTATTCGATCGGACACCAACAGCAGCTTTAACGGCGATCTCGCCGATGGCCTTCGTTATCGAGCGACTTCTATTGAAATGCACGAAGCGCTGGTTGGCATCATGAAAGACGCTTCGGGGAAAACGCCGAAAATTGCTTGGATGAATTGGCATGTGGGATCTCCAGGAGGGCCGGGACAATTTGGAGATACCTTGGGTGTTTCTCAATTAGGTATAAGGGGTCGACGCGGCGTTAATGCATGAGGTGAAGAGTAACTTTCCTAGGATCTCGTTCTCCTCCAATAACCAATTCGCTGGTAGACATCAACGCCGGATTGGCGGACGCAGGTGAAAGTGGCCATTCTGACGATGTAAATGTCCCGTATTCTACATATTATAGTATTATGTACTGACATCGACAGTACGTACGTTTGCCCAAAGTGATATAAGTCTGCGCGATCTTGGCTAACCACTTCTATGCACGGTATAGATGGTATTGATTCTGCTCCAAGAAACTTCAAATTTTGATGTCAAGAGCTAACATGTCACCTAGTTTGTACGTTTTCAGCCATCGGCAATATGTGACCTTTGCTGATAGTTAGTGATGCAATAGACGGTATGTCTTGGCACTCAAGGTTGAAATGTTTACCTACAAATCTGATATTTGGTGGTGACCTGACTTTTATGTTCTGACAACGCAACTCTGTCTAGCCGGTAAGCCTCTTGCGACCCCGAGAAAAGCAACACATTCTGATCAGTATTGTTCTTCTAGCTTGATAATGAGTGGGAGTGTAGCCCGGATGTTAACACAGCAAGAGAACTGTCCAAGGAAGTCGACATTTCTCGCCAGCTTCCCCCGAAAAATACGACTGACATCCTTTGTCCTCGATGCAAAGACCTCCAACAGCGGCTCTGGTCACATAAATTCTTTTTTGTTGACAGCCTCGAAGCACTGGCAAGTAGTGCGGGAGTCTGTGATCTCTGTCGCCTTCTTTTCTTTTCACTTGAATCCATGGTATCCAAGAGCTACGGGGAGATTCAATTGGAAAAGTTCAACAGCTATTTGACATCAAGTGTGAAACCCGGACGGCCAGTTGCAGTCTTGTACAGCTTGCCAGGTTAGAACAACGTCAGTTCCATCCATTTATGTCGTGCTGACTCTTTGCGTAAGGGAGACCTTTTCTTGGTACACAGATGGGAATGCCAGTGCTTCCAGCTGCCGGTAGTCAGGCACATATGGCAGTGTTATCGACGTGGATAAGGGTCTGCGACGATACGCATGACTGTAGCCCAGCATCCGACACCGCCTTTCTTCCAACACGAGTCATCGACGTTAAATCCGAGGGCGACGAATCATGCCGCTTACTTTGTGCAGACCGTGGGCAAACGAACTCAGGAAAATATCTCGCACTATCGCATCGATGGGGGGCCCCGGATCAGCATAGGAAGTTTTGCACTTTGAAGGAAAATCTCGAAAGCTTCAAAGAGGAAATCAAGTTGACAGAGCTTCCTCAAACATTTCAAGATGCTATCAAGGTCACACGAAGCCTCGGTATTGGGTACCTCTGGATTGATTCGCTCTGCATCGTCCAAGATGACCCTGAAGACTGGAAGATGGAATCTCGTCTAATGGAACAGGTGTACAGCTCAGCCTACGCAACTCTAGCAGCTAGCTGCGCAAGTGGGACCGAGGACGGCTTTCTGAAATCTCGACCATGGCGACAATGTGTTACTTTAGCATCTGACAGGGGCTCCTATTATATCTGCGACTCTATCGATGACTTTGGGCGTGATGTTGAACAGGGAGAGTTGAACAAGCGGGCCTGGATTCTTCAAGAACGAGCTCTATCCCGCCGCACGATCTATTTTTCGGAAAAGCAGACATACTGGGAATGCGGAAGAGGCGTAAGGTGTGAGACGATGACGAAAATGAGAAAGTAAGCCTAGCTGGGTCTACTATTATTGCTTCTAGCTAGACTGGCTTGACTGACTTCTCAAAAAATCAGCCGGAAAGCCTCGTTCCTGGGAGATTCGGACTTTCCACACTCCATCGACACCTACGTTCGCGGAATGAAGATTGAGCTTTATCAAGATCTTTATCAGAAGTACTCAGGGCTGGCACTTAGCTCCATTGGTGACAGGCCAGTTGCCATCCGCGGGCTTGAAGCACGTCTCATCCGCACTTTCAAAACTGTCGGTTCTCATGGAGTTTTCGATACTTTTTTTCATCGATGTCTGTTGTGGAAAAAGGCAAGTCGGTCTCTGGGTCGGATTGATCCAGAACTGCTTCGAGGGGTTTATGTTCCATCATGGTCGTGGATGGCATACGACGGCGAGATCAAATACTTGAATGTTCCCTTTAACAAGTATTCTTGGGAAGCGGACATTATCTCGCCGTTTAGGACTTGGTCGTCTCAGAGCATGAAGGAGAGAGGCGAGAAAGAGGCAGCATGTGAGATCAAGGTGCCTGTATGGGACTTTCGGGGTTCTGATAGCCTTTTCCTGGAGCTCGACAATCCAGATAGAAAGCTCTCGAACCTCAAATGTGTCATTGTGGCGAGGAAAAAAGATCTACAAGGCGACCCTCAACAGTCACACTACATAATAGTTGTGCACTCCGTCGCCATTGATGGGCTCTGCAACGTGTATGGGAGAGTTGGCGTTGCGGAGGTCAGAGGAGAGCAGATTGCATTCAACAAGGGAAGTCAGAGCGGTATTCTTAGGTGATCATAGGATATAGCAACTAATAGCCACATGTCTCCTATCTTTCAGCGCGTGACTATACGTGTACCTCTGCCAAGCCGGGCCTCGATGCTTTGTTTCTGTTTACTGGTCGTAATAACGGCGATGCTGCCTGCTAATCAAGTGAATCATCCGCCCTCCCACGCACCCTTATATTCACTCTGTATACACCCACGAAGGCAAGCCTCAAGCCTTTATACCCCCCATCAATTCCATTCCCGTCACCAGCACAGCAGGCGCCATCCTAGGTCGGTTGGTCAGGTCAAACTGTCTGGGTGGTGGAACGGTTAATGGTCGACACTCAAATTTACGCCAACCAGCCTACTCGACGACAGGCTTAGCGAGAGTACCCGAGTTCGAATCCCAACATGAGCACCATAATAATCGCCAAGAGATGTAGCCACACTGGTGGTGAACTCTTTTTTTTCCGTCTTCAGCTTGTTTTTTGTTGATGACGGGCACAAGCATGTCCGCGAGAGCTGCGTATTGCCATTCTGACCATCGCAATGCCGACTAAGGTAGGAGAAGATCGCAATGGAGGGAGCCACACTCGCCGTATATGTCTACGGTACTATGGTTTTGAGAATAGCTGAAGGCGGCAGGAACCAGGTACCCCATTGGGGATGCCTTTTTCTGTCTCCGATCTCACAGTTATCTGCCTCCGGGCAGCTTACTCGAATAACAAGGCTGTTGTTGAAACCATCTTGGTATTGAAAACAAGGTATGGAAAGGGAGACGCTCGGCTATGCATTTTACGCTCATTCTCATCCCCCACATGATGGACCACCGTCTCAGACCAGCTCTCAACTCTCTTCGTCCATACCTAGGGCTGCAGTCCCTACCGCTCGTCCCTGCAATTGCTATCGCACAAAGTCCAGAGGCCTCAGGTTCTAGTCCAGACCTTCCAAAAAAGCTACCCCGTACGCATTTCAATGCCTGAAAAGTTCGTATCCTGCAATCTGGTCACCACTCCGAGGCTTTACTTCTTACTCCTCTCGTACGTCCGAGGCTTCCCCAATTCTCCTTTGGGGAACATGTCCATCCGACAGAATCCATCGCACGATATCAGAGAACAGCTGAGTGTACTCGGAGGTAGTCCTGAAAGCAAGAACACCGTCGATTGTCGGGCTATACGGAAGACTCGCGCCGCTTTGTGACGATATCTTCGCTGCATTCAGGCTCTCCCTCACACAAGCTACCACAACGGCTGAGCCTTTTTCTAGCTCACCTGCGTCAGGGTCCGAGGAAGTAGCGTAAGGTTGCACTCCAGCTGTTTCCTGAGTACGGCATCACTCGGGAACCATGTCCCCCAAATCCAAATATTGTTGGGCCGTTTCATGATCCCCCGTGTCCAAATATTGCTGGGCAATTTCATGATTTTCCAGCTCAGTGGCGCGTGTGATGAATTCTACCACACCTGGCGATTCTCTCACTTCGTCCAACTTCGTCGTGGCCTCGAGAATTGTCAATAGTATCGATCCCAGCCACTTGGGTAATCGTTTCTGGGTGCCAGAGATCTCTGTCCATCTCGAGAAGATTGGAATGATACCGCACCGCCCACGCTCCTCTTCGTACTTGGTCAAGGCTCCTTTCTTGACCAAGCACTCCACAGCAGTTTGCAGTGATGGTTGCGCAGTTAGTCCTGCTGGCCATCTAGGAGCATCTGTTGCAAAAACGTTGCGAGAAAACCGCTCCCAGAGCCCCATATTGGCATCATCGCGACTGGCGAGAATGTTCTTGTAGTCAAGCAGGCGGCTGTATACGCCTGCATCTAGAGTGCAAAAGCTGGCAGGGTGGGTGGCAAACGTGGGACCAAACAGGGCCCTGTCATTGAAAACTTGGAAGATTGTTTCCGCCGGTGACATTCTTTGGGCATTGAGGATGGTTTCAAAGTCCAAGTTCAGAAGAATATCAA